TTGCTATCACGAAAGCTTTAAATAGATGTTTTTTCTTGTTCGTGTTTTTGTTTTTTTGTTGTGGTTGCACCCGATTCAAGAGCCGAATGGCTCACAGGGCTTTACCAAAATAAATAAAACTGAAACTGAAACAAAGTGGCAGGCTGAGTCGACCCTATTGAACATCGCTTTAAATTATATTCCTGCTCTGAATGAGTTAAATGATGACGTCACCCTGCTGCTCTATTTAAGACCGGGAGCAAGTGAGGGCTTTACCATTCTGGCGAATTGCCCGATGATGCTGGATGTAATTACCAGCGAAACATCACAGTACTCAAACTGTAAATGTTGTGGATTCACTCTTCAACAACACACCGGTGTGGGGCTAAAGTAGTGAACTAATTGTTTTTTGTCAACGTGACACTTTATTTTGCTGATTGGCCGTGTCGGGTGGTGGAGGGTTACGACACATTCGTAAATAACGCGATCTAACCCAAAAACCTTTACTGTGAAGAATCTTGGTCGCGAAAGCCTGCTACGTGTTAAATTTATTCCTGCTCTGATAATAATAATAACACCACGGCACCTTTGACGCCCGTTGCGAAGCAGAGTTGGAGCGCCGTCGTGCTCATTGTTCGCGCACGCCGCGGTATTCACGAGGGGCGGTCGCGGCTCCTCGAACTGCGAACCTCTATGACAAGGGGCAAGCGCACGGACCCCCTCCGCGCTTGTGGCCACGCAAACCAAACGATGGACCGTGCAGTAAACCAACCGGGTTGCTGTATGCACTTAAAAAAAACATCTATTTTGAAAATGTACTTCTTTGAAACTAATTCTAGATTTGAAGCTTTCGTGACTGCAAGGATCCATACTCTTTGGTTCTATTCGGTAAAGTCACGTAGATAAAAATAAAATAACAAAAAACACGACGTTTCAGCCACAACACAAGTGGCCTTCATCAGGTGAAGGGACCGGACTGTCCAGAGGATAGCGTTGGAGTGAAGACAGCCAAGCCCAGGTCGCGTCCTTTAAGCTGTGTTTCGTTTGTTGTCCTCCCCCCGCACCTCCGATTAGCGCGGTTGGCAAGGTACGGTGCGAAAGAGGTTCAGCATACGTACGTACACAGGTAGTCTGCGCTCCTTTAACAGAGGAGGAGGAGGAACAACGGATATTCTTGGGTCTTTCGGTAAAGTCACGTAGGTAGGTTCAACGAAGATACTTTTTTTGTTATTTTCTTTGAACCTATCTGCGTGACTTTTACCGAAAGACCCAAGAATATGAATTCCTGCAGTCACGAAAGCTCAAAGTCGAGGAGGAACAACACTACTCCACGGTCTCTCTCCTGAAGCTCACTCGTCGTGGCCAGCAGACCTCGACATTGGCATCGAGCTCATGCACGTATTGCTGCCCGCATGCGCAATAACAGAATGCCTTTGCTGGCTGCGAAGTCTAGGAAGAATACTTCTGTCGAAGCCCTCCACCACCCGACATGGCCAATCAATAAGGGACTTTTTCACGTAAACAAAACGCTAAATAGTGACTATTTCAGCCCACCGGTGATAAGCAGTGCCATGATCGATAGTTTAATGATCAGGTTACGTTATATTTTCGGAATTTCGACTTCGTTTGCATGCACTACACGTGATGAGTTGTCATGTGAGACCTCGTTTATTATCATGGACGCGACGATCTAAAAACGATGCATCCTGATGATAGAAGCTTGTTGTGTGTTTAGGGGCCGTCCATAAATGACGTCACGCCATTTTTGACGATTTTTGACTCCCCCCCTCGTCACACGGCGTCACAAAAAGTCAGACCCCCCCCCCTCAAATATGACGTCACAAAGCTCTGCCCCCCCCCCAAAAAAAATGCTTCAAATTCAAATAACTTTAACCTATTGTCATTGTAGTGCGTATTTAATGTGGCGCTGCACTCTGATGTTGTAGGAGAAAACATTTAGTAATTAATCTATTTAATTAGGTAGAACGTGTTGTCTATAGTTATTTAAAGTTGCGCATTTTGATGTGACGTCACATTTCTCAACCCCCCCCCCCCCCTTGTCACACATCATCACAAATGTCTGACCCCCTCTCCCCAGGTGCGTGACGTCATTTATGGACGGCCTCTTATTTATTGTTATGCCTCACGCTTGTTGACCCGTGGAAGCTTCACCGAGTCGCGTGACGTGCCACGTTTTCACAGCAGGGGGCGATGATCGCTAAGCACATTCCCGGACAGTCTTTGGAGGAGATCGGAGTGATTCAGACTTCACCCCACCGCGTGCCCGACCTGTCGATCAAACTCACTGTGGTGAAACCCATTCACGCAATGCTGTGTGGAGGACGCTCGTCCCATCGTTTAAAGTGGCGGCTCGCCCGGAGATCGAATCATCAGTCGAATCCCTCGGCCTCTGCGTAGGTTGCAAGCCCTTGGTTTAACAATCGAGCAAAACGCGAGCGCAATCTCGCGCTCACTTGAGCGTAGAGATGTTGAATTTGTTTCACGAGACCATTCTAATTGACGTATTAATAACAAGTAATGCCGATTCGTTGACCAATAACTGGAGGTGAGGGATCGTGCAATCTGAGCGACGCGGTGGCAACCAGCGGTAAGTTCATTTCGCTTTGAACTCGGCCATTTTAGTTAAATTTCTGGCCACCGTTAAACGTAAGGGGCTGTCTATAAATTACATTATGCACCTGGGGGAGGGGGTCAGATTTTTATGACGATGTGCAACGAGGGGGGGGGGGGGGAGGTGTTTGAGAAAAGTGACGTCACATCAAAATGCGCAACTTTAAAGAAATATATAATTGTTATAACAACAACACTCCTACAACATCAGAGTGCAGCGCCACATTAAATACGTGTGGTGCCACAGCAACGGAGCAACTCCGCCGGCGCTGCTATCCCCTCGCACCCTTCCACACGAACGCACGCACACCTCCACTAAACACACACATGCACCCACGTAGGGTCCCGTGGGGGGGTCACCTGGTACCATGGGTTTTTACCCGAGGGGCTGCTAGCCGAGCGAACCGCAACGAGAACACTCACAGCACAGAGAGATAGGGCCTCGGGGGCAAACACGCAGCGAGCAGTGCATAAGAGGAGGTGGGAGGGAAATTCATGGACTGACTGCAGCTGCGAATTCCGTGGCACGGCCACCCATATCAAACCGGTTGAGTCCGGGGTGGGGAGGACGAGGGCGTAGACAATGGATCGAGGCGTAATGGAAAGCAACGCTCCAGGCAGGGGCGGGGCATCGGTTTAAAATCAAAAGGTAGGCGCCCGATTGGCCGCGCAGGATAACACCACCCTGGATCTTTGGATTCCAAGGGCATAAAAGAAGGGAGGGAAAAAAATGTTAGTCAGTGCTCCTGCAGCCGTTGAGCCACCCGGTCGGACTCCCAGCCGCTCGCAGCGTCCGAGGGATGCTGGCGAGTGCAGCTACGACTCGATCCCAGGCAGAGACCTCTCGTACCCTTGTCACTCCGACTCCCACCACGTCCATGCGACACCGTGAGTACGTCCGCGTGGTGAGAAGTGGAGCAAGGGTACACCCAGGGATGGAATGGGGATAGGTTAGGCCAGGGGTGGGCAAATTTTTTGACCCGCGGGCCACAATGGGTTCTAAAATTTGACAGAGGGGCCGGGCCAGGAACAGATCGATGGGAGTGTTTGTGTGAACTAAATATAAATGACATCTAAAAATCATTACATGAAAAGATTTGGCCTTTAACAGGTAGCAAAGCATTTATTTGCAAGGCAATTGAACAAATTGCACCAACATGAACAATACAAAAAACTTGTCGTAACTCCCGGTCAAAGTGCGCCATCTAATGGTGAAATGGGGGCATTACAGGAGAAAGGTAAAATTTAACTTAATAATAATATTTGGACAAGTTCGGCGGGCCAGATTAAAAAGCCCAACGGGCCGTATACGGCCCGGGGGCCGTACTTTGCCCATGTCTGGGTTAGGCGCTGCTCGCTGAGAACTTTGCTCTGGGCCACGCAGGGTGTTTTCTTTTCTTCAGGCGCGCCATTCATAAAGTTTAGCACAGAGGATTCGTGCGGTGTGATTTCTGTGGGTGTGGGGAAAATATCGGCATAGTGTGTGATTCGAGCGTGTGTGTGTGTGTGTGAGGCAGCGCGGGTAGTAATTCATTAGCGGCTCCCGTTGTCCATGCAGCCGCGTGATTAATAGGGCGATGGAGGGGTTAGTTAAAACCCGTTCGCGTGCGTGTTTACACAGCGCGTTTTACGCAGTGTGTTTACGTAGCGACGATCGCATCAACGGCGGGGCGCGCATAAATTGTCATCAATACGGCCGTCGTTTTGCCCGCGTGCCTGTGCCCGTGGACGTACTTATGCTCCAGCCGCCGCAGCGGATTAAGGCCGACCCATAGGAAGGGGGAGGGGTGCGTGCATATTCATACGGCTATTTTTAGCGCGAGCCGTGGTGAGCAACCCGCACGGGCACGCGCGTGCACGCAGCCACCTCCGCGTTAGTGGTGGTGTACGTGGGGAGCGTGTGGGATAACTCCAGGCGGTGGGGAGCCAGCCACTAGCCATGTCCCTCAGAGAGGAGGCTGGTGCAGGGAGGCCGATCACCTGATCGGCGGCAGCCAGGCGAGAAGGGCGGAGGAGGAGGGGGGAGAGGAGGAGGGGGGGCGTCAGCCCCCAGATACGCACTACAATGACAATAGTTTAAAACGATTTGAAGAATGTTTTATTTTAAAAATGGAAATATGGTTTTTGGGGGGGGGGGGGGCGCAGAGCTTTGTGACGTCATATTTTAGGGTTTGTTCTGGCTTTTTGTGACGCCGTGTGAATAGGAGGGGGGGGGGTGGTCAAAAATCGTCCAAAACGCCGTGACGTCATTTATGGACGGCCCCTAAATGGCGAGTCACGTCTCGACTGTTTCTGAACCTGCCAACTTAACCAACTCGCATTGACCAGCGGGATGAAGTATGGTCAAGCAACCCCTTCCCACCATGACCAACACAGCGTTGGGAAGACCGTCATCCAGCAGTGGATTGTCGTTATCCACGTGAGACTCACTGAGCCCCAAGACTCCGCTCAGGAGGGTTCCGTATCGGGATGTTTAATCAGCTACCTTGATGAGTGTTCTTCACAGCTTCTACGATGTGTTTTCGCGTTGGTACCGCGTGTTGCTCGGCACGATGTCCGACGTTTCGCCCCACGTGCTGGAAGCTCCTTCACCAACCGAGTAACCCTAGTTTGGTGTCAGGAGCATTTCAATTGCTAACTTCGGGTTTATTCAGCTCCCGAAGAAGCACGTGGAGCGAAACGTCGGACATGACGGCGAACAACACGAGGCACCAACCAACACGCATCGGGGAACCTCTGAAAACCTACACAGAACTTCTTGTTAACAAATGTAAAAACAAAACAAATATTTAATGATACTGCATTGGCAGTGGTGGACAAAGCTCATATTCGCCAACAAGAAAAAAAATCAGCACACATGACAATAGCACTCCCATTCAAAATAATATATATGCTAGGCGACGTTTTGGGTAAATGCTCTCCTTGATAGCTGTGCTTTCTTGAAATGAGCATTGAGTCGCCGCCGCCGCCGCTGCTGCTGCAGGGCACGACGCTGCTCCAATCGCTCTGCGTGTGGTTTACAGCTAAGCACGCTCAAAAGCAAAGTGCGAGGGAGGTTCGCACAAGAAAGCATTGCAGGAGGAGGGGGAAGGAGGGAGGGAGCGGGTCTCAAAGTCAGCATGATAACACCGCTGGTGATGATGTCCCGTGACATCTGTGAACGCACGTGGGCGCACATCTGCAGCGCATGAGCGCTGTGTATAAATAAGCCCGCTCGGAGCGCCGAACTGACGAGAGTTGAGCGGCGATTCGGCGGATTTCGCCTTTCATGGTCGCACGCGCGTCCAGCTGCACCCCCAGCACGCCACTCACTCACTTCGTCTCGCTCGCTCACCCTCCTTGGCTCTGTCTCCTGCAACAAGTAAGTGTTCAGCTGCTGCGTTTAACAAGTTCGTCGGCGTTGTATATGCGTAAAGACATAGACTCCCACCCCCCCTCCCCCTATATAGCCTTAATAGACTGTTGGGGCAGGTGTTGTTAGCGAGCACCTGTGAAAGTCAGTGCGGCGCACGAGGGGGTGGGTGGCCAGCACGACGCTCGGCCGCTTTTGTCTCCCCGGTGGCGAAGTTTACACTCCGCACCAGGTACTCATTTGGGACTGAGTGGACTTATGGGAGGCTCGGAAGCGTTTAAAATATTCGCCACTGGGGTTGGACCGTGACAAGAAAAGTGACCGGTCATTGGGAGTGGCACGAGTCCTAGGGTACTGTCCATCAGGAGATGGAGCGATGAAATTACTCCACACGCAGGTGGAGTATTGCTACAGGTCGCAGGATCATGCGAGGTGGTGGCTGCTAGGGGATTAAAGCCCTCATCCAGCAGTGGATTGACCACGGCTGCTGCTGATGATGATGATGCTGAATGATGTCTCAAGTTGATTAACTCCAGCAAAGTGTACTGTTGGAATGTATACTGTATCGCGTTGCACGATCGTATACAGTCGTCCAACCCTCGTGTACATGGAGAGGGGGTGGTGGGGGTGGAATGTTATACTTTAAATGTTGATCGCCAAACAGCATGCGAGACGACGCGACCTGTGCGTGTTTATCGTGAGCTCTCTGCTCTCGCTGTCACCCCGCTGTGTATTTGACCAAAGGCTGCGACCCGAACATATCATTGGACCATAATATCTTCCTTGGTTCTTTCGGTAAGGTCACGTAGAATGAGAATAAAATAATGAAATAACACAATAAAATTCTCACGACGTTTCGGCCACAACGCAAGCGGCCGTCTTCACCGCTTGCGTTGTGGCCGAAACGTCGTGAAAATTTTATTGTGTTATTTTATTATTTTATTCTCATTCTACGTGACCTTACCGAAAGAACCATAGAAGATGAATCCTTGCAGTCACGAAAGCTTTAAATCGAAATTTGGACCGAAATAATTGGGAGAGGGGCCGAGCTTTCAGTAGGGTGGTGGTGGTGGTGGGGGGCTCAGCTCCCTCCAGCCCCCCTGTCGCTATAGAGCTGGAGTAACATGTTTATAGGGGTTTATAAAACCTACAATATAACAATATGCTTCAGTACTCCTTATAATGCCCTGTTTGTAGTAGTGTTTTTGTCGCACCAGTTGGAACATTGTCCGCATTCTTTTACTTTAAACCCTGGGAAGTTGACTCAGTTTTGAAATTCCCCAAGGTTAAATGCATCATCATCATCAGCCATGTTCTCCATAATCGAGGTTTTTGGGTTATATCGCGTAATATAAATGTGTCGTTACACCCGCCACCACCCGGTTTGTCACGTAAACAAAACATGCCGATTAGTCACTAGTTCAGCACACCGGTGTGATGGAGAGTAAACCCACAACATCCACAATTTGAGTAAGTGATAGATGTGGTGGTGAGTGTAACGTCACTATATTTACCCGATCTAACCCAAAGAGCTTGTTCTTTCCACTGCTGGATGAAGGAGGCCTCAATATTGTATTCGCCACCCCCCTCGTGATCCTGTGAGGATACAGTCCGTGTCCAATCTCATCACTCCATCTCCCCTCGAGAGGTTATTCCTCTTTTGATTGCCATCCTGTCGGCCCATCTCGCCATTCTATTAAAACTATGAAAAACTAAACTTTTTTTTTTATTTGATCAAGGCCCACTGAGCTATATAGATCTTTTTCAGAAGCGACATGGCCACAAATGATCGCTCAACGAAGTGGCTTTATCACGTGGAAATGTATAGCAGCCATGAACTCCTGTATACCAGGCGAGGTAGTTAACATCTCGCCATCATCCATGGCGCCCTGCATCCCACCATCCCTTACGTTAACGTGTCCTGTCCAAACCCAAATCACTTGTCATCAACAGGCAACAACGCGACGCTGCTCCAGTCACTTGCGTCGGTTCTCCGGCCCACGTGTGTTCAGTCTCTCACTTGTAATTCCCCAGCCAGGGCATCTCTGATCTCTCCCTGATTGTTTGCGAACTTCACAACTTTAGTGTCCTAGCACGCCACGAGCATTGTTTCACGCGCAATGATGTCTTTGCCCAGGTGAGCATCGCGATAATAAAGGTAAGCAAACAGTAAATGTAGGCTCTTTCATTGGCGTTGCCAGCTAGACAGGTGTGTGTGTGTGTGTGTTGTTCCCATGTTCTTAATTGATAAAAGCAACGTCCATACAGAAAGGGGTAGAGCTTAGCTCTGGAGATTTGCCCGTGCCCTACTACGAGCGGATGGTTACTGTGTAGGTTACAGATACGATCCGTGAAGTTTTCACGGCTAAGGGGAGTTATACCGTGCAAGTACAACCACAGTTACTGGATGTCAAATATGAGCAACGACTGGCGATTACTGTTCGTGCGCTCCTGTGCATTTAAAGGTTCCACGTCATTAATATAATCGGGGCGTTTGTTGGTCACACTGCTGAAAGGACAGAGAGAGAAATACATCGATTGACCTACACATTTGTTTATCTTGATTCATTGACGCCAGAGTTGATAAGCCGAGTTGACTCTTAACAGGGGTGAGTGTCATTCAAGATCAATAAATGACTTGTCAGGGTTTGAGACCCGTGGTGTCACGCTCGCAAAGCCTCTCGGGGGAGGGACACAGTTTAACACGGCGGCTTTCGCGACCAATATTATTCATCACAAAGGTTTTTGGGTCAGATCACGTAAGTATAAATGTGGCAAATCGACCGATGATGCTGGATGTAATTACCATTGAAAATCACGCTACACAAATTGTAAATGTTGTGGATGTACTCTCCAACACACCGGTGGGCTGAAGTAGTATACTACACGACTATACACTACAATATACACTACACTATGCTAGTAACTAATTGGCGCGTTGTTTACGTGACAACCCTTACTGGCTGTGTCGGAGGGGCATAAACTGCGGAATGGATACCGTGCAGGGTAAATTGCGAATGCAGTTCCACGTATCCTTCTGTAGGCTAATGGTATGTGGTGACATCTGACACTTGATCAAGATTGAGCCGATTAAAGGTATTTCTAGAGGGACATCCCATTCTCGTTTTAACGACATACGGACACGTACATTGCGCGTAAAAAAAGCGCCCAGACTTACCCAGACCACTAGCTCAAAATAACTGAATGTGTGGACATTTTGATTTAAAGCTTTCGTGACTGCAGTAATTCATATTCTTAGTTCTTTCGGTAAAGTCACGTTGAAGGGAAACAACAAAATAATAAAATATATATAAAACAATAAAAATTCTCACGACGTTTCGACCATAACACAAACGGTCGTCTTCAGGTGTGTTGGTTTGCATAAATTTATTTTTAAACGGTGCATTTATTTATTTATTTATAAAAAACGATAGCGCCACGCGCAGCGATTTGGCAGTTTATTTCGGACTAGTCCATCTATATTCTGAAAAGAGGAGGGGGGAGACGAATTTTTTTTATTTTATTTTATAATGTATGCTGTCTGAAAGCCACTGTAAGCGTGAACAATCAATTAAGACCTGAAATGGTTTATCAAATCTTTCCAATGATTGCTAAGATAGAATCCATCTTCTCGGTTGAAATTGTCTCTGTGCTTGTATATGTGGATAGCCTCATGAACGAATCTCTCATGGTAGCCAGATGGCTTACACAGAACCTCTGTCTTGGAAAAGTCAATGGCATGTGAGCCTACTGAATTGTTATAATTGTTATAATTCAGTAGGCTCACATGCCATTGACTTTTCCAAGACAGAGGTTCTTTGTAAGCCATCTGGCTACCATGAGAGATTCGTTCACGAGGCTATCCACATATACAAGCACAGAGACAATTTCAACCGAGAAGATGGATTCTATCTTAGCAATCATTGGAAAGATTTGATAAACCATTTCAGGTCTTAATTGATTGTTCACGCTTACAGTGGCTTTCAGACAGCATACATTATAAAATAAAATTTAAAAAAAATCGTCTCTCCCCTCCTCTTTTCAGAATATAGATGGACTAGTCCGAAATAAACTGCCAAATCGCTGCGCGTGGCGCCAACGTTTTTTTTATAAATAAATAAATGCACCGTTTAAAAATAAATTTATGCAAACCAACACACCTGAAGACGACCGTTTGTGTTATGGTCGAAACGTCGTGAGAATTTTTATTGTTTTATATATATTTTATTATTTTGTTATTTCCCTTCAACGTGACTTTACCGAAAGAACTAAGAATATGTGTGGACATTGTCTAAGTTAGGGGCCGTCCATAAATGACGTCACGCACCTGGGGGGGGGGGGGTCAGACATTTGTGACGATGTGTGACGAGGAGGGGAGGGGGTTTAGAAATGTGACGTCATCAAAATGCGCAGCCTGAAATATATAATGGTTATAACAACACAAATTAGATTAATTTTCATTATTAACTATTTGATTCTTTAAATTTACTAAGGTCACCATTCATTTATTCCATGAAGGAGCATTTTGCTTCTCCATGGGAGAATGGAGAAGCATAAATTATTATTTTTTTAAATGTAATGATTGTTAGTAAACATTTTTATTCTAATGATTCTACCAGGGCTTTTCATTCTGTGGAATGAATATATGATTGTCATCAGAATCAGAATCAGAAAGGGTTTTATTCGCCATGTAAGTTCACACCGACACGGAATTTACTTTGGCAGGATGGTGCATACATTCAACATATAGGAATCTAAAATCTTAAATAAGTTTTAAACAAGTCTTACTATAATAAGGGTTAAAAGTCTAACACCAAGGGGCTGAAGTATATAAAATTAAATAAATATCGAATATAAAATAGCTTTAAGATATAATATAATTTAAAAATAAAAAATACAAATAGGGTAACATAGTTAATATCGGCAAGGTGTCGTTATGTAGATCAAATGTTAAAAACAGTGTTAGCCCTTGGCCTTGTTTAACAGGCCAGCAGCAGATGGGAAGAAAC